ATTTCGCCCAGGGTGGGGGAGTGACCACGGCTTTCCTACCTAAAGCACTCAGTCATGTAATAGGCGGTGTTGGAATGTTGTGTTCTTGGAAGTGGTACTACTTTTTCTGAGTTATCTGTGCTTCCCTTTGTTTGGTGAATAGGCTATAACCCCATCTCCCCCAGTTTTCTTGGCCGAGTTGAATACCTTTAGTTTTATTAGGTTTTTGATTAAAGCTGTTGTTTTACGATTTCCAAAGTCATATTTTGAAATGCACCAAGAGGGGATATTTCATATCAACTTCATTGTGTTTTTCAGTTCGCATTTTGGCAATGAATGCAATCCTTTTAACTTTTTTTGTTCTTAAATTCCAATACTGGAAGACCTTATCTACAGTCTAATCTTCATTTATGTCTGGCTCCTTTTAAGTAGATATGAAAAGCGTGCTTTCTTGCATGCAGGCAGTGAAACGTGCATGCCAATGTAGTATATAAAACCACTTGAACAAACTGAAGTTCATAAGGTTGAAGATAAGCTATCTTCCCCAAGCAACAGTGTATACTTATTAGAGTAAAAAAAAGTAGCGTCCTGGTTTCTCCCTCTAAAACAACAGTGGCAAACTCTGTACAAACTACAGTTTGACTTTTGTTGCTTACTAAGTTCATACAGGCCAGTACTTCAACCTCCAAATTACATTACTCTCTCTTATGCATTTACAGCCAACAGACCTGGAAGAAAGACTTTGTCTTGGAGCTAACTTCTGTGCATTTTGAGATCATTCATCATGAAGTATGTAGTACAGGAATGGCTCAGAGTAACTACCTTGCTATTCATAGCTCAAGCAGTTTCTGCAATGGTTCTTCCCAATGCCACGCTCTTAGAGGAACTTTTGGAAAAGTACATGGATGAAGATGGTGAGTGGTGGATCGCCAAGCAGAGAGGGAAAAGGGCTATCACAGACAGTGATATGCAAAGTATCTTGGATCTTCATAATAAATTACGGGGTCAGGTGTATCCACCAGCTTCCAATATGGAATATATGGTAAGGAAAAACCAATAGCGACATGCAGAAAGAAATGTTCTTAGAATAGTTACTGTCACTTTATAAAACAGCATACTTTCAGTCTTAGCTTGCTTGTTTTCTCATTTAAAGCACTTGTTACTTGTTTGTCCTTTTTTTGTACAGGGGTGAACTGTGAGATAAAAATGCCTGTTTGTGGATCACGTGTCATGTTCTGCTGATATTAATGGGTTTAATCTCTCACAGCTCTCCTGATTAAGTGGCAATTCCTCAGTGTAAGGGGCCGATTTCCAAAACTGCATTAGTCAAAATAGTTGATTGTAGCCTAAGAAGTTACCATCTAAGAAGAGTACTGAACTATGAAGTTTCAAAATGACATGGATTCTCTCCCATGCCTCTAGGTTGGATGGAATTTCTGAGCAAAATGAAGCTCCTCTAACAAGAAAGTTGTCTATTTTAGTTGACATGTGCTACTAGACTGGAGTCCTATATGTTCCTATGTTTAACATTAATAATGTAATACATAATTTCTCTTTATGTTTTTCCCTTAAGAAGTGTCTATGTTTCATTTGTTATTAGTAGACTTAAATCTCCCATGATTTTCAACTTTGATTTTATGCGTAGTTCAAGGCTAACTATATCTCTCCTTGTTAATTAGATCAAATCAAGTCATTAGAGCTTTTAAGAAGTCCAGACGTCTGACAAGAATGGGCAACTTTTCTTCTGTATTCTTATTTCTGCAGAAAAGCTCAAGTCTTTTTCCTGTGTCCACACTGTGTTATCTGTCCAGGCACCAGAGAAATAGCATTATTATAGGTTGGGTTGTTTATACCAAATATTACACAGATTTCCTGACACCTTCCATTGTAAGGTTATGACAGAGGATCATATTAACACATTTCAAGATGTAAATATCTTTCCCAGCTTGGAGTGATGTCTCTCAGCTTGGAGATCTGATTGAACTGAGCATATATGTGTCCTGGAGAAACCATCCTTGCTTAAACTGTCAATAAAGGTAGTTTAATTAAGTTTACCTATATGAGTGTTACTATATTAGTCTAAGAGCCATCAGAGAATTAGTTACCACATTCTGTCTCCAAACAAAGGGGTGATAATATCTGAAACCCCTTTAACCCTTTCAGTTATGATTATCTGCACATATCCTTAAACTTTTTTTCTGTTGTGAATTTTTTCAGACCTTTTTGTAATATAGGTTACCTTTTTGTTCCCAGTAACTCAGGTTGATTTATTTCTGGAAAACTTAAGAAAAAGCTGTCCAGCCTTTTTGTAAATTGAGAATAGGGAAGATTATTGTTTTCCCATGTTAAAATACCACAAAACTTTTTACTGAGATTCTATGAAAGGGTAGCTTTGATTTTTAGTTATGCTCCTTTTTCGATTCCTAATGCCATTCTACATTTGCCTGTGTTATATATCTCAGAAAGAAGGATTTGGATGTACTCACTGGAGTTAGATTTTTGACAGCTGTATTCTTCAAAGATTCCTCCTGCACTGCACACACTTTGGCCTAAACTTTATGTTAGGTCTATATCTGGAACAAGTTTTTTTGGTTTTGTTGTTGTTTTTTCTGTGCTCCTTAATGACCCCTGACCCAGAGTACAAGTAGCATGGAAAAGAGATTACCCAATTTTAGCATTGAGGAGATACTCTTATGTCCCATTATTCAGAACAGGACAACAGCTTTCAAGAGAGTGGGATTCAATTTTGGCACAATATCCAAGGGGATCAGAGATTGGGATGGGCAAGAGTTTGAGATTTGTGAATGCAAAGGGTCTGGCCAGAGGGATGGATACATGTTCAGGGGCAGGGACCTATGAGAAGGGAATGGAGAGAGGTTGAGAGTCTGATCAGGAGGGTGTTGAGAAATCAGTGGTGAATATATGTGGTTAGGGGAAGAACTGTGACTCTCTGGGCAGAGAAAAATTGGAAGCAGGAGTTTTTGGAGGGAGGGTAAGAGCACAGAAATTTACTAAGAGGCTATTTAAAAAGACTGAGCCTGGGAGTAGGAAGGGAGATTGTACCTGGAAGAATCAGGTGGGAGTCGGTGTTGGGAACCAAGAGAGGATGGTTTAGGAGACAGGGGGAGCCCCCCGCTGCTTGAACAGAAGGACGAAATGACAGGATTTCTGATTGTTTGCACATAATATTTTTATGATGCAGTTTGTGATTGTCCACCTTCTTTTCTATACAAGGTGTCATAAAGGAATCATGGCTGTTTTATTGTTCAATAAGAGCGAAATTTGAGTACAAAATTGTAAATGTGGTGTGGAGCCACAGATTGAACAGCCAAGGAGGAGCAATAAATGATAGCTCATTAAGGAAGTGTGATTCGTTTTGTGCAAAGAGACTCCTTTGGAAAAACTAATATCTAGTCGTCATCATAGTGCACATAGGCAAGAAATAAATTACAGAGGCAAACTCCATTCTATCATTTCATAACTTCTGACAGATATAGCTGTATAACTATTACTGCTAGCTTTTTTGTCCATAGTTAAAACAAATGCCTGTTTTGACACTTAACAGTCACTTTATTTTTCTAGATGCATATTAATAATAGGACGGACAAGTTCCACTTTTCCAGGTAAAGAAATAAGCACTCTTAGATCTGGTTTTCCAAGGGTCTGTGCCCTCTGGATCAGTTTTGTGAATGACAGAAAGTTTAAGCACCCAAGTATTGATAGAATTAATACTGTACTTGGCTATTTTTTTGTAAAATAAATGGTGGAGATAAATGGGGATGTTTAATTAAAAAAAAAGTTTCAGCCGATAGACCCATACCACTTAAAAAAAAAAAAATCCTTGCAATGTGTTACGTCGGGTCTTACCAAAGGTGAATTCCTGTGCTCCAGAATAGGGAAACAATCCCCCTAAATGTTTGCCTGATGTTTAGTGAGCTAGATAAGTAAAGCTGAAATACTTTTGTCTCCTTTTAGGGTGCTCTATTAGTATAGACATGCTGGCAAAAAAAATCTCGTGCTGTGAGCACAGTCATGTCACTGTAAGCTGCCCCTTGTACTAGTAAAACCTTTCCTTGTAAATAGAGTTAGCTCTGCTTGTGGAAGTGAAGTTTTATGCCTTACTGAATCCAAGTGGAGGTGATCAAGGTCCAGGTGCCCCACTGGTACACCTGTCTCTCTAGAAGTCTGTCATATAGTTGAGAAGTTTAAGATATCCAAGAGTGCTTGGATCTGGGAGAAAGTATGTGGGGGCTGCATGCTCTCATTGCACTGTGTGTGACAACTAAGCTCACCTAACAGGTGGCTCTGGCTGAAATGCCTCTCTCCTACTCCTGCCACTGGCACCTATCTGAGTTGATGATGAGACTGATCCAAGTACTTAAAGAATCAGATTTTATTTTTTTAAATGTAATTTTTTAAATTTTTTTCCAGTCTGAGTCATGAAACTGGCTCCCTACATGGCTGAATCAAATGAGTACCAGTGCTGATAAAAGAGGGTGGGAATGCATAGCTAAGGAATGGGAGGGATGGAGAGAGAACTGCAGGGCTAATGCCACATTTTGGTTTAAGTTGTGCAGAGGAGAAAAGCTTTTGAGGATGGTCTCCAGCATATAAGATCTTGGTTCTATTGAAAAAAAAAAAGGAAAACAAAAGGGTTGAATTAACTGATTTTCTGTACAGCTCTACACTCTTCCCTTATGCCTTGAAAAAGAAAAAGGGTACTGGGTTATCACAGTTCAGAGACCTAAAGTTACGAGCTGCCGTCAGATTCACAGTAGATATGTCTAATGAACAGAATGTTCTCATGGTTGTCTGGCTGAACTTACCGGATGAAAAGTTCATCTTCCCAAGTACTGTGGCTCTGGTGGTGAGCGGTAATGGATTCCTAGGGTAAGAGGATAAGAATAGAGCATGTGAACAGTGAAACTTCTGCAGTGAAACCCCCCAGCTTCCAGCAAACAGCAGCTTAGGGACTTCCTAAATCTGCTGTTGTACTTTTTCTGTCCAATAGTCTTAGGTGGAATTTTCTTTTATGAATCTCAACACTTCAGGGTCCATTTATAGTCTTTGAATCCATGGCATCAAATTGCAGAGCTCTATAAATTTAATTATGCACTCTGCGAAAAAGTACTTTTTTTGCTTTAAACCTATTCTTTTTTTTGATGCCTTGGGCTTTTTTTTTATTGTGAGAAATAATAATTTCCTCAGTGGTCACATCTTTTTCAGCTGAAGAGTCCTACTTCTCTTAATTGAAAACTGTTCTATCTGAAAAGCTATTCCATTTTGTTTTCCTTCTGCATCTGCTGTGGTTCTACTGTTTTCCTTTTAATTCAAAGGGAACAAACCAAACTGTTGATAGTTACGGCATACTGCAAATTGATATAGTTGTATTTTTTTTCTTTTTTTGGCTTCCTAATAATTTCTAACATTCTTTTACTTTTTGACTGTGACTAAACTAAAGCCGACATTTTCATAGAGCTATTCACAATGGCTTCAAGATCTTTCCAACGTACTAAGAGGTCATTTACTACACTACAGTGTATGTATAGTTGGCTGTAATCTCCAGCAGTGTCCTCATTATTTTGCATGTGTTCACATTGAATGCTATCTATCATTTTATCTTCCAATCAGTTAGTATTAGTGAGTCTCCTATCTCTATCTTTTAGTTTCCTATCTTGTTTTTAACTACCTTAAGTAGTTAATATCATCTTGCATTCCCTTTTCTTGGGCTATTCTGAAGAAGGTATACAGCAGAGGACCATGGACACATCTTGCAGGGAATTTTAAAAATGATTTTGTATTCTTAAATCTGTTTTCTGTCTTTTGTCACTTTTTTTATCTCATGATAGCTTAATTTTATTCATTTATTAATTTTTAAATAATTTAGGACCTTTGTAGAAAGCTTAACTGCACTTAACCCTTTTCCGCATGTTGTTGACACCTTCAAAGTCTAATATATTTGGGAGGAATTCATATTATCCTCATATTTAATATGTTTTTAACTTGCCCTATGAAATCATCCCAATGGAAGTCAGTTTTTAA